TTCACCCATTCACACTCACATTCACACACTGATGATGGCAAACTACACTGTAGCCACAGCTGCCCTGGGGCACACTGACAGAGGTGGGGCTGCCATGCATCGGCGCCACCGGACCCTCTGACCACCATCAGTAGGCAAGGTGGGTGAAGTGTCTTGCCCAAGGACCACAACGACTGAGACGGCTGGACGGGGGATCGAACCAGTAACCTTCTGGTTCCAGGGCGACTCCCCTAACCACTCCGCCACAGCCGCCCCCAGAACACACATTTATTTTTACTTTACACGGTCTTTAAAGCCAAAAGCTCAGGGACAGGAATTTTTTTTAATTTATATTTATTTCATTTATTTTTATAAAACTTATTTCGTTGCATTTAATCATAAATTTAAAGTTTACCATTGATAAAAGAAACAAATTTCAAGCCAAGTAAAAAAAATAATTGGGGTGGGCGGCGGACCACAATGAAATCACCCGCAGGCCGAAAGTGGCCCGCGGGCCTTGTGTTTGACACGTGTCCTACATGAACAACCTAAACAATTAGCAGCTACAGGGAATTTAGGATTATATTGTTAACTGCAGTTAGACTGTATAACACATCATGATGTTATCAGTCACTTGGACAATTCACCTGCACTGCTATAATATTCATATACATATACTTATTTACTGTACAAGGTTTATGTACATTTTTATATATCACGTATAGTGTTTTTTGTTTATTTTTTTTCTTTTACTTATCTTTCTTTATTCTATCTCCCCCGCTCCTGTATTGATCTGCAGTAAGGTGCAAATTTCCCCACAGTGGGATCAATTAAGTTTTATCTTATCTTGTCTTATATTATCTTATCTTCTTTTCACATCATGAGAATCTGAAACGACTGTAAATGAGAGTAAATTTTCATATGCATGTATTTTCCATCTTTTTAACCCACTGGTTCTCTGATTCCAGGTAAAGTTTAAAGTAATAAATGAACAACACACAGAGCCGGGCACTGAGTGCTATAGACTCAGACCAGCAGCTTTGACAGATCGTGTTCCATGTCAAGTGCTTTTGACCCACTCAGCCCATGGGGCCGATGCATTTAGGTGCACACAAACACACAGACGTCTGCACTGTTATGCAGAGGCAGACAAGGGCAGAGAAAAGTAAGAAAACAGTTCACCCCTCCCTCCCTCTCTCTGTCTCTGTCTCTCTCTCTCTCTCTCCATCATTCAATCTTTTCATTTTGTTGTTTTTGCTACTTTAGTCTGTTCCCAGTCCTAACTTCATTCGCACTTCTCCTTCACAATGTCCTTAACCCATCTGCAGGTTTCTATGATGACACATCAAAGTCAAAGGTATACTGCCAAAATGTCAGCATGATGAAATAACCAACAAACACAAAGACTGTAAATTGAAAAGAAAAGACATTTGATGAAGATAAGAAGAACAGAGTTGGAAGTTAGAAAGATGCAGATCTAAGATGTACAGTGGCAAGACGATCTTTTTTATCCTTTCAAGTGTTCACATAAAAAAAACTTGATTATTTTTACTCAACAATGCCTTTATCATGAGGTTTGGTTTTTATATGACAGTTTTCTATAAAAACCTGACAGTTGGATCATTAAAATGACAGCTGTCCAGATGCAAAATTATTTTATTTGAGGAAAAAAATACACTTTACCTCATTTGTACTAGTGATCACCAGCTTGTTATTTAAAACACTTACAGTTGCTGATTATTAATTATAACTGTGCAAGTTGATTTAGGAAAGTGTGTCGAGGCCAACGGCCTCTTCCAATTAAAAATGATTCAGCTTGTTGTGCTTTATGTGACCTAATAATTGTTTGTGTTTTTAATATGTTTTTCCTATTAGGTGTAGATAAAATACTAATCCAAAAAAAGCTGCATTTCAGTTTTATTTTGAGTGTCATACTCAAACATCTAAAAATATACGASTGGAATCTTTTGTTTTGGATAGAAAAAAAAACATGAAACCATTTATCTTTATAGATGGATGAAACATTATCAACATCTTTAGAGAAGCTTTTAAGAAATCCATAAAAATAAACTTAGTACACATAAAAATGTTTGAATGGCAGAAAGTAAAAAAGATTAAGACAGAGGAAATGACTGAATATGTCAGATTCACCAACCTGAGTGAGCCATTAGGTGGAAGTTGTGTCTTGCTGTTGTTTAATAATTACATGCCACCACAACTTAAGTCCTGCATCGGGAGAACATTTATTGTTTTTTCCTTTTTGTTTCCTTGTTTTTTTTATTTAGAGTGCTATTTAGGAGCAATGGATGTGGTAAACTGGTTACTGATGATGAATAGCTGCTTGAAGGACAAGCTTATAGGAAGCAGTTAAGGCTGAACGAAGAAGAAGAAACATATTTTCTTTCAGGAAAAAAAAAATAGGCTAATTTCTTTAGGACTGTCTGCTGCATGTTCATAGTTAAAAATAGGTGGCATGTGCCTTTAAAAAAGTTGAAGGTTTATTTCTCTGTGCTTCCGCCTGGCGCCACTATTTGATAATATTTTGAGAATCATAAGCAGTGAATTGTTGTGAAAAGACCAACCAGTCTGGCCTGGAAATACAGACTCATCAGTATTTAGTCTAAGATGAACTTTGACAGTAGCACAAAAATAAAATCTGCACAACCTCATGGTTGTTTTAAAAGCAAGTAGCAGCTGCACAGGAAGCATACTTGATCAACTGTATAAAGCAGGGCTTTTGTTAATTTGCTGGTCGGAGGAGTTCAGATGTTTACTACACTAAAGACGAAACTCATCGTCAATAATCTTAGAAAAACAACTGTTATTACAACAATCAGGAGTGGCGGTAGGGTTATTTCCAAACTGCTTTCCAGGAATAGTACATAATTCAAGGAGGTGTAAATTTCCAAAAACAAATTAACTACAATCTAACATGTTTAGGGTTTAGTTTGCAGGGGTTTTGTAAAAGTTTATGATAGTTTGATTAGAACACAAGTGTGACTTGCTTGAAATAATCAACTGTAAATATCCCAAAAAGAAGCACGGCAGCACGGCTGAAGTTTATTTATCTATAAAGTTAGAACATTGTCTTATTCACGGACAAAAACAGCTTGTCAAAGACAGTGATGAAGTGGACATGATGTGAGTTTGTTTTGCAGCTTCTAAAGCTGGATTTAAAGCTGGCATTGTTGTGGACCATCTAGTAATTGTCCACTGTAAATGAAAGCTTTTTAGAGTCAAACATGAGGTCATTTTATAGCTGAAATTGGGTCATGCAGCAGGACAATGAGCACAAACGCATCATCACATCTACAAATGAGCAGCTGTAAAAAACAGAACAAGGTGCTGCAACCAGCCGGTGTAATTGGTGATATCAGCCATTCATCACCAGCTTAAAGGCTTCCAGCATGTCATTCAGTGGAAAGACTAAATGCTGTGCCTTAAAAAAAAAGATTTTAACAGCACACAAAACAGCACACGCAATACTAAGATTTTATCAGTTGACTTTCATTCTCCTTAGACTAGATTACTCCCATGTGTTTGCCTAACGCTATATGTTTTCAGGGGATGTAACTCCAAGGCAGCAAAAATAGCATTTGAAACTATAAATTAGGTTTGAAAGCCAATAAAGCATTCATTAGTTCCCCATCTTGTAAAGTGGAAGTGCACTACGTTAGTATTAGTACCATGTGGCCACATCTGACAAGAAAATGAAAAAGGTTTTATTGAAGCACAAAGTGCATCTAATAGCCTCCCTGTTATTTGGAAGTTAATATTTGAGAGACAAGCTTCTTCTGTAACAGAGTTAAAGCCACTGGGCTGCATAATTCTGGATTTCTCTTATTTATTTTTATTTTTATTTTTTTATTTTTTGGTTCACTGGGGTGGATGATTCCAGCATCAGAAGCAGAAGATGCAAGAATAGAAAACATGTGAATCATATGAGGGGATAAAAGGATGGAGTGATGATGGCTTATAGACACATAAAGAAGGTGAGAACTGAGAATCAAACAGCTGAGCTGGCATGCTAAAAACATGCCTCATTTTCCTACTTTCTAAATTAACAACTTGCAAAAACCTGCTGAAAAATAAACTGCTCCTGTATGCAAGAAATCATTTCAAATAGTCATATTAGCAAAATATACCACATAATGCTGTTGAATAAGAAATGAGCTTCAGTAGAATACATTCAACTATGCACTGCAAAAATGTCCCTGAATTTATAATATTTGTGCATATTTGCTTATGTTGTCATCACTTTTGGAGGACTATGTGGTCCACAAGCAAAAACAAATCAACCATGCAACCAAATTAAATTAAAACAAAATATACAACCACAACCATCTCCCAGATACCCAGAAGGGTTTCAGCACTTCTACAGAAATAATAAAAATAAAACACATTGTTTCTTATAACTGTGACACAACAATCAATGCTTGATTTATCACGGCTGCAAAATGAACCCATCACCATAACAGATCATAAAACAAACCCAACATCAAGAGAAATGCTTTTAAAAATTCCCACCAACTATCAAGGCAACTAATTCCAACATACTGCAAACTTCTGAGTGCATCTGTTCGAGGCAAGGAGAGCGTGAAATCAGCTGCTGAAGCTTGTCTTCTTCTGAAAACATGTCTGTTAAAAGTGGCCAACAGGTCTGTGCAAGATGCAAATTTGATGAAAAAAGATCAGAAGATTTGAGTCTATCTTTGACCTTCATTCATGATCGACTTGGATGCATTAAATCAACACGGTTCAAAAATCACAACTGAGCGTTAATCTTATAGCTTTGTTCTGAACAATCTGCAGTTCTGCAGATCTTTGAGGCTCCAAACCAGATGACTGAGCAACAATCAAGATGACCTAAAACTAAAGCCTGTGTCACCTTCCTTTTTTTCAAAAGACATAAAATGGGGCATTACACCAAATTATTGAGATATTCCTACTCATTTTAGTCACTTTGTGTGCATAAACACAAGAGGATGCTCCCTCGTTATCCATGTTGTCCACCATCTTACCTTATGCTCTGTTGCTCCAGTCTGTCTGGATCTGTAGCACTGAGTGAAGCCACAAAGCTGCCCACAGGGATGTTTTCCATCCTGGTGACTATCAAGGGGTCTGGCATGAATACTGGTCCCTCATTGATGTCCTGAACCGTGACATGGACAGTGGCTGTAGAGCTGGGTCCATAGCCAACAGAGGGAACCAGGAGATCCTCGTTTTCCACTTTGATGAGTAGCGTGTAGAACGGCATGGCCTCATAGTCTAAAGGCTGAAAGGGAAAGCAGATCATTTGTCGTCTAATTAAATAAAAACAATCAAGGAAGTGTCAGACGGTGTGTTTTACCTTCACAACTGATAATATTCCTTCATTACTGTCTGGGTTGGTTTGGATCTCAAAGCTCTGTTTGGGATCTCCACTGATTATCGAGTAAATAGCTCTCCATGCCCCCGTGGCAGGATCATCTCTGTCGTCTACTGTCAGGTTTACAACGACACCTGTCCAGTCCTCGTGTACATATGTCTCAAACTGTTTAACAAAGGCAAAAACACAAAAATAAATTCACATTAATAAGAGAAAAAAGTATAAGAGTGTTTAAAAGGCAACATCAGGGTAAAGTAAAAAATGTAAATTAAAAATTTTCAACCTTGTGCTTTTTATGTAGTTTGAAAACTTGAAAGGCTGAGTCCGAGATAAAAATTTAGAGCTGTAATTCCATTCTAAGTTCAACAGAAAGATCTAGAAAGTGATTGGATGCGAGCAGCTTCAAATTTGCGTCTGAAAGCAAAAATTGGGGCAAACGAATCYGTCTGGGTTGATGATGAGCTTTAAACTTCTGTGAAAGAAATATGCCTGTTTCATATCAGCATAACTGTGCCTTTTAATGAACAAAAGGAAAATTAACTGAGTGAGGAGTGCTCCTGCTAAGTTCTTTGATCAGGGTCTTTCATATGTCTGCCTGCAGACGTGCTTCACGCACACCTGGCGCTGAATTCTACAGAGAAACAATGCTGGAAGTTCAAAGGGTTCAGAGAATGTATGGTTTTGACAGCAAACATTAAGTGAAAAAAAGATGATTATCAATGCAATGAGAATTATATCTGATTTCCTCTGACTGAAAGAATCTCTTTTACAGAGATGCTGATATCATCACCAGCAACCAGGGTTGTGAGTCATCGTTTTGTACCAATCAGGCTGCTAAAACAGAGATAAGAGAAAACTGCATGACTTCATACTCAATAAAAAAGGCTCATCGGCCTWWATGGCGTACATGAACTCAAGTCAAYGGTTTMAATATAGTTGATGAGTGTCTAAAATATTGAATTATGCTTAGTTGTGTAAATCACCACACAATGCTGTAAAGATTTCATGCTTACAACAGATACCAGCATTTGTTTTATTACTATTTCTTTAAACTAACCATGTCTGCAATGTGGGTCAAAACCTCTTGAAACTCGAGTTTGTCTAAGTTATRTAAAAGTTAGGTTATATTGTATTAATTTGGTCTAACTACACATTAACTATATACTATATTAGTAGTGTATTCAGTTCAATATGTATTTAATTCTCTACGGTACAGTTATTTTTACTGTTAGTGCTGCTTAGTTTTTGGGGTTTTTATTATTGTTTTTATGTAGTTAGTCATTAAGATTTTTAATTATCATTATTTCTACTCTACTTTTTTATTATTTGTATGCTGTACTTAAG